CAATGTTTCTTTCAAAGAGGGTTGTCCTGTGTGTGGATTAGTGAATATCAAATGTAAAATATCTGAATATGAACCAACATGTTCTGACTTTTTCCCTGTTTTCCCTCATTTATGTTTCCGGGGGTTTAAAAGGAACCAAACTTTGTTCTACATCATCGTTTCACAGATGAGATCACGAAATGTCGATTTAATAGTTGAAAATCAAATTAAGGTTTTCAGCTTCCACCTCGATCCATCTGGTCAGCGGGTCATCCTGGAAATCTCCTTAAGAGCAATTCCTCAGCATTTAGCGAGAGCTCTGGAGATATTGACGGAGCAATAACAATGAAATACAGCCGCCATAATGTCAGTCACAATGCCTTGCCAGTGTAAACACTCCATCGAGTGGAAAGTATATTTCTCGACATAAAACACATCTGTCTTCCAGATCGTTGATATTAGGCGTCATACGACAGTATAGGGAAGCTTTTCCTCTGAGCCGGCCAACGCTGGAACGACCTTGTCGCTGTGCTTCACCTGTGCACTCAATGGTCCGCACGGCTTCGGCAACCGTCTGGGGCTGCGGCGCTGCCCCCACACACACATGCAGAGTCACCCTTCAGTCACCCCATGGGCTGTAAAATAAGCTGCTGCCATATGCCAACCAGGGGTCAGTGGCGTGTCAACATCTTGCCTCTGTCACGCGAGAGGACATACACGCTCACACGTGCACGCACATTTGCATGGGTGCAGTCGGGAAGGCCTTTATTGTCTGCATTCATTCCCAGACCTCAAACCATTTTCCTTTCCAGCTCTAAACGCTGAACCAAAACTTTTTACCTTAAACCAAACCCACGTCCAAACCCATAAACGTTGCTTAAAGAAGTGAAGACCGGCCAAATGCACCCGCCGCTCACACGGGGTCTACTTTGGACAGCGAAACAAAGACACGGCCTCTCGCGTGGTGTTACAACTGACATCCATCATTTTGTGAGTCTGCAGAGAGCCTGTTACAAACGGAGGCTACGAGCCACGAGGCAACGCATCGGTCAGCACATTCGTAACTGTCGTGTTTTGGAGAAGAGACTTAGAGAAGCTCAAGGTTGTCAAAACTTCTTTCAAGTCTGAAAAGACACAGACGCTGCAGTGTTCTGCTGTCAGCTGGTTAAAACCAGGAAAATAAAGACGGACGACATGACGGCTTCCAAAAGTGAAGCCGAAGCGTCTCGATCGACCCCCCCTGGTGGCTGACTGCAGCATAGGTCATAACTCCTGCCTGTTCCATGTAAGTGGATGGGACGTGGACCAGACGGAAACAATGGAAGTACATGTTCAATAGATTTAACTCAAATATTCAAAGTACTGACGTATGTTCAAGTGTCTGTAATAAGTTTGGTTTTAATTAAGCCGTTTTCAGTTGTGAACTTCAGGAAAAACTTTCTTTGGGGTTTGTCTTTCACAAACGTCCAGAGCGTTCAGGTGAGGGGTGGAGCAGAATGTAGGAGGCGGGACGTGACGTATAAATTAATGTAGAGACCGTCTCCATTTTGACTGATGTATCTGTGTGTGTGTTTGATTGAATGTACGGGATTGTTGGGCCTTGGTGGAGCCGTGTGTGTAACGAGTGTCATACCAGTGCTTCATAAATGTTTAAATCTTTCTACTTAGTTTCATCAAACTAATCCTGATATTTCTTGGTGTGTGGAGTCTGGACGTGAACTGATCTTTAAAAACTCGACTACAAGATGAAAAATCCAACTCCAGTGAAGTAAAGCACACACGTCTCAAATACCTAATTCATGCTGTGTTTGCTTTATTGCCGCTGCCAAAAAGTTTGACGTAACGAACCAGAACTCCCCCTTCAGCACGTTGCCAGATTCGCACATCCAATTGCTCCCTTGCTTTGTTTATGGCGAGGATTCCTCCGCATGTGATGTCAGTGTTTCTTGGAGGTGAGAGGAGCGGCGTGTTTACCCGCTCGCCGTACACAGCACGTGGGCGTTAACAAACAAGTACCCTCTGAAAATCCAGACACCTAACCCTTGTGTGTGTTTACTCACACCACTGTCAAACATCTACAGCCCCATCCAAACAGTGTCGGAGGGAAAAACCACATCATCCCGCTCTGTTTTAGATCAGCATGCGGCCGAGCAGGGAGGGGAAAAGAGCCCAAAACATCCATAGCAATCAATCTGATGAGCAGTGGTATACACGGAGGACACGGGAGTAAACAACTTTCAACTCTGCTGGATTCTAGTCTCATCTCCACGAGGGGGGAATCAGATGTGACCATGTTTTACTGACTTTATTTCTTTTAGTTCAAGCTCCGAACCACAAACAACAAAGTGCAGAACATGTCAGTTTGTTTTGTGAGCTGAGACAGAGGAATATTTCTCTAAGTGGAGCCGGGCTCTCGTAAATGTTTAATAAACGCTCTCTGTTGAGAATAATTGAGTCCGAGTTCCGAACCCATGTGGTGCTATTTATAATCCATTCACGCTATATGTACAGTATATGCTTTTACCAGATAATCTGTGTTGGTAAAAGCAAGGACACAGAAAAGTCACACATGGAAATACGAGTCTCCTGGTCTCAGTTTTAACAAGACTCACTGTTTTTAATGGGTATATCCTGGTGTTAAATATCTGTAATGTGCTTTCCCCGGCTGTTACCACGTTCGGACATAAACATGCTATTCTTGCTCTGCCTATAATTGTTCTATTAATAACGCCCATAATGTCTGAGTCTGGTTCTGTGTGGCAGCGTGCAGCAGCATTTATTGTGTGCAAACGCGACCTGTTTCCAGCTGCCACACGTTGTTAATCTCTGGCTCCGCCCCTGCCGGTCACAAGAGTCTGTTGGGCGCTCTGCGGTCAGAGGGCAGACGGCTGCTGCTGCCACCGGTGTCCCTCGTGATCGCGGGCAAACCTTTACCTTTACAATGAGACGTAACACCGGGTCCGACAGAGAGCTGAAGCTGCATTTCATCCATTACTGACTTTTGACCTCAGCAGGCCGATGCGACACACTCAGTCTTTTGCTCTTCAAGGATCCAAATCAGACCACGGATCCCTGTTTGACAAGATATTTGGTTTTAGATGTTTTATTACAGGTCATGTGTGAAACATACCTCGCTCCCAAATGCATACCTCGCTGCAGGAAGTAAAAAGAAAACATCCTTAGGTCACGTCTCACCCCTCCACAAAAATTTCATGGAAATCGGTTGAGAGGTTTTTGGGTAATTCTGCTGACAGACAGATAAGTGTTGATGAAAACACCAGGGCAGCTGTAGCGCCTAGGAGGTAGAGCGGTTGTCCAATAACCAGAAGTTCAACGGCTCGACCCCTGTCTCCCCTGGTCCTCGTGCCATTGGCAAGATACTCAACCCTGAAGGCTGTGGCTTGATGCACTGTATGAATGTTTGTGTGTGAATGGAAGTTGAGTGAGCACTTTATAAATACAAACCATTTACATTTTGCACCTTTATGTCAGTCTTGTAAATCCTAAATTAAATTATAATTGTATTTCAACTTTAATATCCGAGATGTATAATCTCAGCTATCTCAGTGTTGATTGTCATTTTTAAATTACATAGAATCTCATGAACCTCTGGCTGTGGACTGAATCCTGCATACCTCATGTTATTAGGTTCAGGCCACTAAAACTCAAAAAATGCACATGACTCAGCCTCTGATTTGACTTCTTGACATTGAACAAAAACCACAATCTTTTCTTAACCTTGATGAAGAAGTTAGACTCGCTAAACAAATTCATCAGAACATTTATTATGTTTTTGTTGCCAAAAGTGAAGGAATTTAATACAAGTGTGTTGATAGTGAACTTTCTTCTTCTCCTCAGGGGATCTGATATCGTTCTGGATAGATAACCCACAAACTGATATAAAACATATTTGTAACTATGAAATAACTTTTTGTACTCTAACATCGAGTGCTGCCAAACTGGCTTCTACCAGGAACTGGATTACGAGTTCTGAATATGTTTGGTAATGTAAGATTTCAGTTTTCTGATTTAATTCATTTGTAAAAGTTCATAAAAACATGTTTTCACTTTGTCAAAAATCTAAATTTTTAAATTAACCTCTGACGATAATATAAAAGTGATGATTATTTCATTTCCCTGAGGAAAATGTGTCTATTTATCATATTGCATTACATAAGTTAAATTACCTTGACTTGATCAAATCCCTTATGGACGTTTATATCCAAAATAGAGCTGAAGTTTTCGAGAAATATTTTTGTAGTGGAGCCACGGTGTCAAGATCCTGCTGTTACACACTCTCGACCAACCAGAAAATGTATACTTACATCATACAACACAGAACTACCAGCAAGGACACAAACCTTTGGCCCATGTCCCATTCACTAACATGGAGCAAATACTGCAGCCAACCACCAGGGGGTGATCAAGCTTCACTTGTGAGGAGCAGTCATGTCGTCCATATTTATTTAAAACATCCAAAGATGCACAAAGACGTACATAAGAGACAGAATGCTTCCTGGCCCAAACATTAGCATCATCCGTAAATCGCTGTTTCCTTTACAACACGTGTTTATCACATGTTTCACACATGATGAAGAGTGTGACTCGTCATCATTAGCTTTAATCACCTCACAGTGTCTTAGCCGAGGAAACGCCCGTGGGTAAAAGTGAAAAGTTGTGACGCTCAGAGTCTCAATAAGCGGAACAGATCAACGAGTGGAGCTTCATGTTGGTCAAAACAACACGTCTGTTCCCTCTGTGCAGCAGCTGCTGGTTCCCCCTGCGAGGACTCGCTGGCAAAACAACAAAACGAAAACACAAAGGAACATTCTCAGGTGCTTTCGCTCTTGTTAGCGCTGGTGATTACGAGGTCTGAATAAAGCACAATTACTGGAAAATGTGACCAGACAACACACGTGATGTGCATGTGTGACAGCAGAGCGAGGGACGGTGTTTAAATCTGACGTGTATCACGACGACAGGTGAAGAATTGCGGACGACAAAGTGAATGCATGGTTACTGTCTGTTTTTTATTCTTACACAATGATGGGAAGTATTCTACATCGCAAACCACACAGGCAAACGTCCAGTCGTCGTCTCCTGGTCTGCAGACGTTTGGAAGAGAAAACACAGAAGAGTCCGGGCTCAAGTCCTCACGGAGGTTTCTGGTGTCTGTTGATCGGACTCCCTGCCTGAGGACAGAAAAATAAACAGTCAGCGAAGATGAGCAAAGACAATAAATATAAGTTACGCCTTCAGGATAAGAAATTCCCCAGTAAGATTTTTATGCATTTTAATAGCAAGATAATAAGATAGAGCATAGACTGTATATGAAGATGGGTGACACGTCTGTACTCCCAGATAGAGGTGTCGTCATTTGAAGTCGTAATAATCATGATGTGGAGCCGCGGAATTTAGTTTCTAGCGATACGCTTGCTCAACCGATCACGGGTCATTCTATATATACATATATATATATATAAATTACACCAGGCCAATATGGTCATGTTCAAGTTAAAAATATTCAAACTTTCCAACCAGATTCAGATTTGATCTGCAAATCACCAAATGTTTCCAGTATCATCGGTTCCATGTGGTTTTATTTCTATCATCTCAGAACAAATCTTATATCTACACGCTGTGAGTTTGCCGTTCGTATAAATCATGTCAGAGCCACTAATGTGTTTTATCATGGCTGTTTCCTTCATGTCTCCGGCAGTCCCTGCTCCTCCAGCTGAATTTCCTCCCTCTCTCAGCTCTAAAAAAAAAAGAAAAGTCTCTGAATCATCTGCACTCAATCAGAATAATTATCCCAAGAACTGCAGCGCAGAGCCTGTGAGAGGTGAGGGGAACGAAGCACAGAGGCTATTGGCAGTCACCTCCCTCCAGTCATTATTAGTATTAGTCATCTCTCTGCTGCTTTGGAAGAGTTCGCGGACGGTTTGGGAGGAAGCCACGAGCAGCCGACAGACAGACAGACAGAGAAAAGGCCTGATGTGACTCCGGTGCAGAAAGTATCAGAGATCCCTGAAGTCTCTGGGAAGCACAACAGCTCCACTGGGGACTGGCAGTCGCTCGCACACAACTTTTTGCCCTGTGTTCCGTCTGTCAGGCTTCCTCTTATCCACCGATTTTTAAAAAACACTGAGCCTGTCACTCTGAGGATGCGGGAGCTTTTACACCTTTTGGGTGCTTCCTTGTAAAAAAAAAAAAAAAGAGAGAAAATCCTGCAGGAGTTTGAAGCTTTTGAGACCTTGTCAGGATTTCTGAATGCTTCCTGTAGGAGGTTTTTGTGCAGCGTTGTGGGGTTCCTGTTTGATTGCAAAGTGGCTTTGCAATCAAAAGTTTCTCAGAGCCCTCTAACTCTTTAAAGCAGATGGACAGAAAAAAAATAAAACACTGATTAGACTCATGAAGTATCAGTTGTATAAATGTTCTGGCAGCACTATAAGTCCACAGGGGGCTGGCAGTCATCCTCTGATGATTATCTCTGTGTTTTGAATTTTGAGTTTCACCCCTGAGAGTTGCACTTGTCTCTGGTCCAAAAGTTTAACGGACTGAACCGGATTAGACGAACTCTAAAAAACAGAAGTAGGTTTCACATAAATCTCTGCTGGGGTTCCACAGGGAACATGTTTGGGGTTCCCTCGTATTTGTCTCTAAAGTGCCTGTTTATTTAAGATGAGGGGTTCTTCTCATGTGTCTGCTCGCTGGATTACAGCTCCCTGGCTGAAAAAGACATTTTGACCCTCCTGGATCTTCATGACAAAGATCAGGTTGTATATGGAAATAAAACGTCATGTACCCAGAAAATAAATAATGTTTATTCAATCATCATGTTTAGTTATTTAACGCTTTAACAAAAAAATAACTTGATTTTCTGATTACGTAAGGAGCAGGTTGAATAAAACCACTAAAGTGTAAAAGTTCCTATGTTTGTTTCTTATGTCCCCGTGAACCTAGTTGCTTCCTGCAGCAAGAACAGATGTTTTCTTCTGCCTTTACTTTCAGTCTCTCCTCTGAACCTTTTGGTCAAAGTCCGTCATCGTTCATTCACTTGATCTGTTTCCAGAAACTGTTTTTGGTGATCCTGCAAAAGTTTTCACTTTTACACATTCTGTGTTTGGTCCAGATCTAAATAACAGACTGTGTGAAAGTTTCCTCACGTTCCAGACCAACCCACCAGAATTTAGTCTGACCAAAAGAGGTGGTCTGGATTCAACTGAACCATCGTTTCAAACTAAATCTTAAGATTTTTTACTACACTAAGTGTTTTTTTTAATCTGATGTATGTGTATATGTATGTTTGTATATATAAATATATACATATATAAAATTCAGTTGTATTTTAGTTCATCTTCCTTGTTTTTATTGTTTTATTATAGTTGTTGTGACTATTTACTTTTATATGTTCAGCACTCTGTGTTGCATTTTACACATGAGTTGAACCAGTTCGTTCATTTTCTCCATTCAAACGTCAGATGCACGCCGTCTACAAACCAAATAACTGGATGAATTGAAACATTGATAATGGAACAAGCCACGTGTCAGGGAATCACTGGAGTCATTAGGAAACATCCTCTGGGGACCATAAACATCTGCTTAATGTTTTATGACTAAAATCCACCAAATAATGAGCACAATGGTTTAATCCTGAGCCCCCTGGTGGCCGTTTTATGATGCTGCGTGATCCTCCATCATTCATGCTCCTCCAGATTGCGTGCACTGCTGCCGAACACTTGCACGTCCTTGTGAGACTACGCAGCAGACAGACAAAATAAAAAACACTAATGAGACATCAGTGCTCACGAAGCTTCAGAGTTTTGACAACTCAGGCACCAAAAGCAGCCGCAGTGCACTGGCAGCTGTGCCACCAAGAATATTAGATTTCTGATATTTTTCCCCCCCGAGAGCTGCAGTTTACACCGAGCCGATCTGAAGACCGCGTTCAACTAAAGGTCCAACCTGCGTTTATGATCAGCAGCAATTTGTGTCACGTTCCCACACCTCCTGCAAGACGTCTTATCATGGGTCTCTACCCCCCCCCATGGTGCCTGGCTGCAGTATAGGTGATAAATCCTCTACAGGCTCTTTCCACTGGTCAGAAAACCCACGAGCTCCCACCAACATCTGGCTTTTACTGCGATGGGATTGGACACAATCAGCGTTCACTCCTGAGTCGAATGACTCTGCAGTAAACACAGGTTTTTAGCGGCAGTGATGGAGACGTGACACCTGGGTGAACGCACTCATTGCTTCTTTACTTTCACAGTCTACAGTCTCACGCTGCACTTGGTCTTTGCCACGTTATGACGCACATTGAACTTCCAGGCTCTGGTGCGAAAAAAGCCACGAACGTCTGTGTCCGTTTTTTGTTTTTTGATAATCATTTAATTTCTCCAGCAATTTTGAAGATTTGCTTCTTTCTCTTTGTTGTAAATTGTCGTAAATTGAATTTATTGGTTTCAGCTCCTTGAGTTGTTGGGAATTTCTCCACATTTTATAGACAAAACAAGAAAATAACAGGCAGATTATTGAATAATGGAAATAACCACAGTTCTACTTCACATGTGAGAGATCTGAAGAAATCAGAATTTGTTATGGCTCCATATTTGTTTGCCAAAGAGTTTTTAAGTAACCGTACAGGCACCTCAGATCCTCTTTCCTTCAAAGAGCCTGCAGCTGAAAGAAAACACCCACTTAGACACACTCATCAAAGATGTACTGACGGCAACGAATATTAACTCTCTCTGACGAATCACTAATATTTCACCCCTGAGGTTTGCACGTGTTTCCTGCACAAAGATTTCACAAGACTGAACGGGTGCAGGAGATTTAAAATAACCTTTATGCTGCAGAGAGGAAACGTGACCATTCAGACACCTGTTGAGTAGAGAAATTTCAATACCTGGTTAAAGAGCTCCTCATACAACGTGTTTGATTTCTCCACCTGAGACTCCAGGTCAGTCACCTCGTCTGCATCCCACGATGTTGCACTGCTTCGTAGGAAAAGGGTCGTTAGTGCCACACGACAAGTTGACCCCTGGAAAATGTACGCAGAATTGTGTCCGGACATTTTCCTGAGTTTGTCTTACACATATGAAGACGGGAGGAGGAGCACGAGACTCGTTTCCAACAACAACAGAAAAATGGGTAGAGCAGCTTTCGACAACTTTTCACTTTCACGTCACACGGAAAAGTTCACGAAAATGTCCCTGGACATTCGTGGACTTCTCTAAAAGTTGTTTCTTACCCCTCGCGAGTCTCAGTGTCCTGTAGGGGGCAGCGCAGGCTCTGTGTGGGACTGACACCGTGTGACCTCGAGGTCAGTTTCTCAATTTTCTTCTGCAGCGTGTTGACCTGCTGCAGCAGAGCGTCTCTCTCCTCCATCAGAGACTGTTTTAACCTGCACGCACACGAACACACACACACACACACACACACACACGAACACACACACACACATCTCTTATTGCACCTTCAAAGCTCAAACTCCCTGAGCGATTAGAAGACGATAAAACCTGATTTAAAGAGCGATGGATTTACTTCCCCATAACTTCTGATCATGCTGCATGTTGACCTCAGATGTTCTTAATGCACAATGTATAACAGCAGTTTTCAGACTGTAAACAGTGAAGGATGAAATACGGCTGATTGAACTACAAAGGAAGCGAGAAAATAAAATCCGATCACATTGAATCTGAGAAAGGTCTTTTATTAGCTGCGGCCCTAAAAGAAATATTTACTGCACCGACTGTGCAAAGGGGAATACTGATATTTACTGGTGAGATTTAAAATAGGTGGATTTAGCAAAACTTCTTCTGCTTACGTGATCATAAAACTCGTGGCACATAAAAAAAAAAAAAAAAACTGGAGTCCCCAGTATCCAACGTGTACAGAATTAAAAATAGTAAAATGTTCATTTCAGCTGAAAACTCTTGTTTTTGTTCTAGTATTGTAGATTTTGTGGATGATGAATGTGGAAACACAGCCCAGTTGATTATCAGAGCAAATAAAAGATTAAAATAAAATGTTTATCAAATCAAATGGAAGACATGTTATTCCATTTTTCATTCAGAAGCATCACACTTATCTTGTTTTTCCACTTTCACCCTCGAGGCTTCTTTCCTTAAAAGATAAATGTTAACTTTGTGTTGCGGAGGATAAATGATCTCTATGATCTCACTCTAAGATGTGAAAAAACTATGAAGTTATAATCAAATCAGATTTAAATTCATCAAATCATTTGACAATTCATCACTTAATGTTTCATTCACCACTTTTCTCCTGATATCAAAGTTTACTAACCCGATGTCAAACATTTCATTATTTAATTTCAATTCCATTTCACGATTTGCTTTTTGTTGTGTCTTTACTCTGACGTCAGGGAGAAAGTACAAACCTCTTGACACAACACATCCAGAATCGCTGCTGCTGACACAGCCACTCGAACTGCTCCGCTGTCTCCTGCAGTTTCCTCAGACTTCTCTCGTTCTCCTGCTGCAGCTCTCGGACCTTTAAACAATCAGTTCAGCGTCACTTTATTTCATCTCAAACCAGGACGTTGACAACAGCAAAGAGCAGGAGGTGAAATGCTCTGTACACGTCAGAAATTCAAAAACAACCTCCAACCCTCTGCCCTCGTCTGGAAAGATGAGCAAACGCAGAGGAGTCTGACTCAATCTCCGACTCCCAGGACTTTCACGGTCTCCATCCACCACAAATAAATGTTCTCATTAAGTTTTGTTCTCTGTCAGTCGGCCGGTTTTTTGTTCTCTTGGACTCTCACTGAAAAGATAATTGTGGAGCTGGATTGTTCTGCTGTCTGATGGGCCGGTTGAAGCGGAGGCCAGTGAGGGAGTGAGGCCTCTGAAGCCAAGTGTGAATTAGAAGGAGAAGAGAAAGTCCTGACAGGTACGGAGGAATGTTTCACTGATGCCCGGAGCCAACACACACTCACACAAACCCAACGCCAGCAGGATCTGAATTAGTGAGCTCTCTGGGGTGGTTGTAGGTTTTTTTTTAAAATTTGGCTCCAGTGTGTAAATCTGAACCTTGAGGTTTTGTGTTTCATGAACGTAATTATTCAAAGTCCAGCGGTGGCTGTTATTCACTGTTTCTCACTGGCCCTCGGCCACGTTGACCAGAATGAGCCTGAGACAGCGTGGACAGTGTTAATCCATTACTGGAGCCGAGAGGAGCAGCTGCATCATCTCAGGAGGAGCTGACGAGGAGAAAAACTCCTCTTCCTCCTAAAACCATTAAAACTGCTCCACTGTTCACTGAGAGGAGGAGAAGAGTCTGATCCTGACACCTGCTGGACAAAGATCACATCACATCTGACTTTGTCTCATTTTATTTCATCTTTTTATTCCTGTTTGTTGTACATGGTTGTTTTTTTTGTGATCTATGAAAAGTGACTGCTGTGATGTGCATTATTTTTTAATTTATTATCTATTCTAATCATTTGTTCAGTCACATCCACCCCCGTCTCTCTTTCTTTTGCTCTTTCTTTCTTTCTTTATTTCTATTTCAGCAAATATCTGTTCTTTTACTTGTTCAATTTTAAAAAACATTGCTTTACGTCTTCACATTGTTTTTTTAAAATATATTTAGAGGCTATAAGTATATTTAAAAGCGAGAACCTTTAGATAACGTTTTTCTGTCTATTGGTGCTCTAAGGTTTCTATAACGTTTAAACATCAATGAGCATCAATCAAACTGAAGAGATACTCTGGGTTCACTCGCCTGCTTCTGATGAGCTCTGTCCAGATCCTTCAGCTCGTCTCTCAGAGTCGTGTTGACGTCTCGTTGCTCCTCCAGCTCCAGCGTCTTACTGCTCAGGACAGAAACACAAAGATCGAACACGTGGACGGAGTCAGACCGAGGTTTAGAAGCTGCTTAACACAAAACACATTCAAGTTAATTCAGTGATACACAGCTTTATTTAGAATGTGTTCTTCTGTTAAACTGTCTGCAGAGGAAACTCCATCCATACGACCACTTACAATATATGTTAGAATCTGTCATTGCATCTGTGTGACTCAAGCGAGCAAGGTTTTCTGTAGTCCTACCTGTGCAGCTCCGCCTGGAGGCCCTCAGTCTGTGCGGCCCTGTTCCGGGCCTCTCCGTGCAGCTCCGCCCGGAGACCCTCCGCCACCGCGGCCTTGTGCTGTGCCTCGGTGTTGAGCTCCTCCACCAGGCCCTCCAGCTTCACCTCGGAGCTCTGCAGACACAGCAGCTCCGAGCCGACCTGCCGCAGCACCTCCGCGTCCCGGGAGCTCTCCTCCACCAGCAGGCCCACACGCTGCTGCAGCAAGTGCACCAGGTCCTGCACGACAGAGACACGGTGATACCACACAGATCCTCATCTACACACATGCACATTTAAGAACATACACTCTACTACTACTTCTTTCTGCAGCCTATTCTTATTTTGATTCGGTTTTCATGAAGACTTCATGCTCGCACTTGTTTCCATGAGCTGCTCTATAGCTTTGCATTCCTTCTCATTGTCTTTAACCTGAATTCACTATTGATGTCAAACAAAACTCTACATGTAGGTCAAAGGGTTTATGGCAAGACCCAACCTGAAACTAAATCCAATCTCTGGGGGAAAGTGAGTGAGTCACACTCTCACAAATCTCTGAGAAATACCACAGCAGTTTCTAGAAGAGCTGAAAATACTCGTTAAGCCCCATAATCAAGGGGTTCCCAATCTGGAAAGAAAAAAAAACAACATTTTTCAGCAGTTGTCTCTCACGTTTTTCTCGTTTTTGTCTCGTCCTGTGAAATATTCTGAAATCTAAAGAGCATTTAAATGAAACAGCCTGAGAAACCAGAACAAGTTGCTCTTTAGTTAAACTGCTCGCACCTAAACAACTTGTGTCGAGCAGCCAAATACCCAGAAAAAGTGTTGGTTGACCGCCGCCAAGACCTCGGCATTTACCGAATGTTAACACTGGCATTTACAGCTCGCCCCAGTTCCAGTGTAATTACTGTAATTGTGGCATCGGTGGCCCATTGGCCATGTACATTTAAATTATGGGACCGTAATGAGGTTAAACACCACAAGGTTAAATGACACAACTAAAAATAATGACTCTGTATTGCTCTGGGCTTCAGGTGAGTGTTTCCTAACAAGAGTCTAATTGCTGCACGGACGTTAGAGGTTGAATTACAGTTTAATGTTGTTGTTGGGAAACATTTTGATATCGATTAAAGTAAAATAAACTGACGGACATCTGAACCCAATTTATACAAACCAGCCTGTTTTACTTTAGCTTTAAATTGTGGAACATTTAGTTCAATTATTTTAAGAGCCTGACCAATTTATCGGTTGGTTGATCAATACAAATCTATGAAAGCTTTTATTTCACAGAATAAAACAATGAAGAAATACATTTTATTTAGGTTCATATCTTTAAGAATTCTATTTAAGTTCTTAATTCAAGTTTGGTTGTATGTGTGTTGTCTTTTTATTTGTAGTTATTTATCAGGTTTAGGGTTAAAAATGTTTTGTGGTCGATGGGAATTGTTTTATACTGTTTAATTATAATTGTGTTTTTCAGGCACGTGTGTATAAATCATGATTTCCATCTGGTTGGATAATTTCTTTCAGGACAATCTCAGATTTCTTTATATTGAGGCTCAAAACTTACCTGGGAAATGTGTGAAAGGATGAAGTTGGTCCTAAAGCTGAAAATGTAAATGCCTCTATTTAAAATTTATAATTTATAATCAGTAAATAAATGTGGAATAACTGTCAAAAATGAAATATTGTAAGAAATCCTTTTGAGTAGAAGAGTTGTACTCATCTTTATAAAAAAGTACATATATTGATTGAGAATTTGATTTCTGACATTTTTACTCACTAAAATCAACATCGGCCCCAAAAATCCACATTGTTTGGTATAATATAATATCTGCACTGTGAGTGAATGACAATATTTAATTTAATTTGTGTTTTTCCATTGAGTCTGGGATGTTTTAGGCTTCTGTCCACAGAGCGGCTCCTCGTCCGGCGGCTCACCTGCTGCTGGTGGATTCTGCCGCTGAGCTGGTCGTGCTTCATCCTCAGCTCCACGTTCAGCTGCTCCTGGTGGAGGAGTCGAGTCGTCACAGCCTCCAGGTCGTTCTGCAGCCTCCTCTCCCTCTCTCTGGACACCAGGAACTCCCGGTCGAGGACTGCTGCAGCCGCAAAACACCCAACCAGAGTCAGGAGGAGCACCAGCTACAGAAGATCTGCTTCACACTTGGATACGTGAGTTACAGCTACAAAATATATGAAGCTTTAGTTTGGTCAGTTTCATTTTTGATTTTGTTTATTGTGTGTTTAATTTTTTTAAATGATTCCAAAACACTATATGACTATTAGAGTTGTGCAGACAGACGATGATGGATTTCACCGTCATGATTCCTATAATGATTGAAGACGCTCTGGATTGATTTAAACAATATTATCATATATGTGTTATTAACACAACATCAGTAATTCATGTTTTACAAATTACAAATTACAGTACATAGTGGTTTGGATGGTTTTACAGATCTGAATGTTCAGCTCTGGATATCACAGGTACGAACACTGGCTCTGGTTAAATCTTAAGTTTTGTATTACTAGACACTTTCTGGTCTTAACTCTTGAGGCCTCGAGAAAATATCATCCAACAGTCAGAGATGGGAAGTTATTCTTTAATTAAACTGACCCCCGACCTGTCGTTTCCCTGATTATTTACCGTGGTGATGTGATAAAAGGTTATTGTCGCTGTGTTGTAGTTTTCATGGGATCATTCTGTTTTAGTTTCACAGTTTAGTTTTAAACAGTTTTACTGTCTGTAAATCACATTTCACCTCCAAGTGACCTTTACTTCACGTTCATCTTGGTACTTCTGGTATTTTCTAAAAGCTTGAACTGTGTATTACAAAACCTGTTTTTTTTATAAACCTGTCTCTTGAGATAATCATCAGTCATTATCAAAGTGTAACTGAGTTTTGTGCTTTTCCCAATTAATCTTTAAACTGAGTTAATATTTGATGAAATTAAAATAATGCAGGTTAAATAACAACAGTCCTGAAATAAACCCTGCTCGTGCTCAGACTGGTTAAAGTCGATTCTGTCTGTGGATGTTGCATAAGAGCTGTTTCTGTTATTTACAAAGTCGCCGAAACACAAATAGAAACCAACAACCTCCTAGAATGATGTTATAACTTTATCTGAAGGAGGCTTCAGTGCAGAAAGCTGTTGTATCAGACTGCACTGTTTTCAGCTGGGTGTTCCTAATAAACTGACAACTGAGTGAAAAAAACCCCACAGTGGCAGTTAAACCATGAATATATGAAAACACTGCGAAACATGCTCTCCTCTAAAATTTTACTTTTACTGTCATTTAGTGTCAAATGTTGTTTCACACATTTGCACACATGCAACATGCAAACAACATGCAAACATAGAAACTATGACAGTGGGTGTTTCATGTGCTAACTGGTGGTGAAGGTGCTGTGTGCAAAGGTGATGATCGGCATGATAAATAATAATAAAACTAAACAAATTAATAACGGAACATAGAGCAGATAGTTGAAAAGCAGCACATGACCGACCTTTGTCATGAGCCAGGCGTGTGCACTTGGCCGTCAGATACTGGATCTGACCGAAGTCTTCGTCCCGCTGAGTTCTGAAAAACCTCCTCATGCTCATGTGTCTCTGAGACGCTCTCTTCTCTCTAAAACCTCTAACACCTTCCCATGATCCTCGGGGCAGGGCGGGAGTGTCCCCCAGGTTCAGATGAGACTGCAATTTTTAACTCCCCCTTCGCTTGAAGACTGGAGGGCAAGTTTAAGCATTAATCAAAGCTGCTGTTGTCAAAACACAGAGGTGAGCTGCTGCTGCTGCTGCTGCTGGTGTGTGTGTGTGTGTGTTTGTGTGTGTTTTGTTGCCAACTGTCCCTGCTGCTTGAATAAGAAGGAAAATCATGACTCATGCACTAATTGTCGGCTTCTTTTACATTATATTTTACATTCTTCTTTTACACGTTTCTGTTAAAATTGTCCCCCGAGGCGGTGAATGCTGCAGGAGGGAGCTGCTGCAAGTCAGACATGTTGTATCTGGCAGGCCGGTGGGTTCAGTGCAGCCGCCTCAGGTCTGTTCTGTCTTATTCTGTACGTTCTCTAGAGGAATATATCACAGACGTGTGTGTGTTTTGATCCAGGTCCTGATCTGAAACCTTTTGAAAATTTCTCCACATCAGTAAAACATTTAAAAATCAGTTATTGTTGGAACTTGATGATGTTTATTGACCAGTGGTGTTTCTCTTGTCATTTCTGGTGACTCAGTCACATTCTGTGATTCTGTGGATTGAACTCTTCATGCAGCTGCTCATGAACCTGCCATAATGTTTCCTGTCAGCAGAGGGAGGCAAATAAACTGTATTACTCTGTTACTCTATACAGTTTCTGGGAAACACTTTATATCAGGGAACACACAAAGTGAACATATCCAAGCACTTGATTGTAATTCACGCACAACAACTTCCTTACTTTCCATCAATAAGCAGTAATTAGGAGGTTATTAAGGGAAAACTGTTAATTAATGGAGTAGTTGCAGAATAAGGTCATTAAGACTAAAGCATTAATAAGTGTAATGACTAATAAAAAGCCAATATGCTTCTAATATCCAGGCTAATAAGCAACTAGTTAATGGTTGTGTTCCCTAATATAAAGTGTTACCAGTTTTT